GGGATCATACCGAGCTGTGTTCATGGATGGGTAAGCCCTGGCCGATCGACACATCGTTTCTACGTGCCTCGAAGCGTTGATATATCGAAAATACGTAATGATATGGCATTTAAATCATTGTATAGGTGATTGAGTAGCGTTTATATTTGCATTTTCTCTTCTGAGCTCCTTGATCACTGTCTAAGCAGCATTTCAAAGGGTGAACAGTTAAGCTGAAGTGATCAACACACCGCCAATGCTTCTGGATTGACCCCACTTTCAATCATACTCACACAAGTAGCGAGGGTTTCGCGGTCCAGCTGGGTGTTAAGTAGCTGTGAGATGTCGTACAGAACTGTGTCCACCGTCAATCCATTATCCAGGAATTCGAACAAATAGAAGACCATCTAGTGTTTGTTGAGCTGAAGAGGCTCTGTCCGGTTCTCGAGAGGACATCCAAGGCTTGTTTCGATTGTTGCCGGGTCCAAGTTGTTCGGCCTGGTGGACTCACAAGTTTGGACCTCACTGCAGCGAACCTGGGTGTATGAATCAAGAAAATGCGCCTAATACCCAGATAACTCGGAGACCTCCGAGTACTTCTGGGTCTCTCCTATTTATTATGATTATGTTATTCATGATGTTCAGCGGAGAATCATCTCGAATTGGGTTGAACGATATCGGCACGCTCGCTCCATAATTTGAAGCTTTCGATAGACTCATTGGATGAACTAGATGAATCAATCCAGTCATTAAAATACGACTACTCAAATTATACGGCATGGCTGCGAGGAGAACCTTCTAATTTCACCCTGGTAAGCATTTACCTTGCATTCTATTTTCTTATATGTTCTAATACATCCCAATTTAGTATGAAGAAAGTGATAAAAGCATACTTCTCCGTCAAGCCTTCTTGCATCCTCCCCTTCAGTTGCCTACTACCCAGACTGCTTACTATAGCAACTACACTGGAGCATATAAAACCAAATCGGTCCGCTTTTACAACCTTACACAACCTCCGAATGAGGTTTCATGGGCTCCTTTGGCAAATGGTTTGTACAGAGAGAAAAATCTGACTGCTATTCATGCTAGAGCTGGAGAATGGAATTGGACCGAGGTTATGCACGCGTCATTTTCTTTATTCTTTTACAAGAGTACATTCCTTCCCCCCACCTCGCCTCTTTTCAATAGGTTTCGAGTAAGTGACCACCCTTCTAGCTTGATTGGCCTTATGTAATCTCGACAGGGATACATCGAATTAGAGCACCCTAATCCTGAAAGGGGAATGACGGAAGGGCCTTCTATTAGCCTAAGGGTTGAAGGTGTTCACATTCCGTCCAATGGTACTCTATTTGCTCTCGTAGAACCTAAGACGTGGGTAACCTGTGTCGTATTGGATCTTTTCTCAAATACTCAAATTGAGCTAGGGTTCCTCCAGATATAAGGCAGCTCGCGGGTATTGTCCCGATAGGATATAGAAACGCTACGGCTCATGTCGTCGCTGAGCAGTACTCCGAGAGGATTAAAGACCTCGAGAAGGCCGCTCTGAACGGAGATACGAGATTGGGGGATGACGAGGGCTCCTTCGTTAACTGTTCTTTCTCATTCCATGGTCACCTGGAACCTCTGCATACTCCCCAGAATATTGTAGAAGAATACGAACGCGAAATGAAGGAGCCCTCCGGAATACCCATTCCAAAACTTCCTCGACCCACTTTTGAGGGCATTTTGATGAGCGAGGAATGCGGTATAATGCTAGAATTGACCAAGTCGTCTGGTTCCTCGTATGTCCCCTCAGCCATAGCCAATACCCAAGACTAAAATCTTTAAGCACGGATAAAATCCACCGAAGGATTGTCTTGTGTAAGCTATTCGTCACGATTCCCTAGTACTATGGTATACTAACCATCCACAGACTCGGCCGTCACGTCTGTCGTCTTTTATGTCCTCATTCAACTATCTCTGCAAGTCAGCGATCAATGGCGAACAGCAACAAGCCTTTTACGCGGGTCTAGAGGGGTAATGGCAACATGGCTTATCGCAGACTCCTACGCAGCCTTATCAGTAGGCGATAAAATCACAATCCTAAAATCATTTGCTAATTGTACTATAGCATCTGATGGCAGCTGCCGCAACCACGGAAGCACGGTTTGCCGTCTTAGTGCCAGGATTTCTGGGCTGCGTATTGTTAGTTACAGATCTTGTAAGACCCTTTGTTGGTGTATTCCCAAAGCTCATAAGGTTTCAGCGACTTTTAACATATCTAAATGGTGTTCAAATGCTCCTTAATCAAGCTCAAATACAGAATCAACCAATCACTACGGTGGCGGCCACTACAGCCCCCGCCGAGACAAGGGAAAATAACAATAGTGCTCCCGAATCGAATGTTATGTCTCAAGCCGCCCCCACTAGATCAAGAACCCCCCTCTCCATTGCATCAACAATCGCTCAATATCTAACAGCTGACGATTTTCGAGTTTGGCTAACGACCGTAGGAATTTTCTCAATGATTTGTCTCATATTTTTCCGCGTTCCGGTTTATGGCATTTGGTTTATTCTTGTCACCTCGACTTGGTCCGCTCAAGTTACCCGTAACATTTATCAACAAACAAGACGTGTATTACAACATCATACAATCCTCATTTCCTCGGTCGTGAGGCTATTTACTCCTTTGTGTGGGTATATACAATCATAGCTTGCGATTAGACGGCTAATGACCCTCTAGACCTCTTTGCATGCCCCGACAACTTGATAGGAATTGAACCTGCAGGTGAGAGGCTATCTAGTTTAAGCCGAGATAAATACTCAGCCAACTCAGGATGGGTCTTCATTTTGCCTGTCTGGGTGGGTTTGCAAGCTTGCGTGCTGATTGGACAGGATTACTTTGGTCCCACCTGGTTCATCCCTAGCTTGGTAAATTTCTCTTCCAACAAGTGAACCCGCTGACCGAATCACTAGTGGTACAAGGAAGTTTCCTATGACTATCATCCTGATCTGGCAAAATCAGATGAAGAGTCCGTAGAAGCCAAACTTGGGGACTGCTCTATCTGCATGGAACGTATATCTGCGGATGAGGGAGAGCTATCCCAGAGCCAACCTTCAATACTCGGTGTTTGCTGGAGAGAAATGTCTAAAAAACGAAGAGCTTATGCACTTGCTCCTTGTGGCCATAATTTCGTACGCAGTGTCCTCATCTTTACTTGCAGATTTTGACACTCTATGTAGCACACCAAGTGTTTGGAACAGTGGTTGGATATCAAGAGCATATGCCCTCAATGCCGCAGACCTTTACCGCCGTTGTAGTTCCAGGAACTTAATTTACAATACAATTCAGCCAGAGAGGTGAAACTGGATTGCATACTAAATAAAGAGGAAAATGCAGTACCATGAATGAAGCACAGGACCAGCATTTCATATGCCGAATAAATTAGATGCGACGGAAGATTCTATATCCATAAAGCGGTATCGTTGAAAACCGGACTCGATCGTGTCGTTGCCTGCATGCACAACCGAACCACGACTCTAAATAATGAGCAGACCAGAACAGAGTGAATGGGAGAGGATTGGAAAAGAAGTTTGCTTGTAGGAAAATGAGAGTCCAATGAGGAATAGATTTAGGTCAACGAGTGAGGCCCCATATAGGGGTCATCAGTTTATTCTTCCACGAAAATGTCTTGATAATGATCGAGAATTGTTTCAACAGCCTGAAATCCCCAATTAACTGTGATAAACAAAAAAAACCATCGCGTCATACCTTATTCTGTGCACCCATATCCAAGATCACAGCACCCCCTGCTGGCGCACTTCCATTTGCGCCATGTCCGTTGGGCACGACAGGGCCGGTCGGTATGGATGGGGTACCAAAGAGGGTGGGACCAAATATGACAGCCAGATTATGAACACTCATAGCATTAAGATGTTGGTTCTCAACAACCCTGGATCCAACAATATTTAAAACGGTTAAATGAAGGAACCAGAGTGCTCACCTATGAAGGTGTCCCATGAGGTATTTGAGAGTAGAATAATTAGCATCCGGAAGATCATTGACCCTCTCATGTAGTCGTATTTGCCTCAAGCGTTCGTTGTCATTTTCTTGAAAAGAGTATGTCAGTGATTGTTATGTATGAGAACAAGTTCACTGACTGGCGGCTTCTATGAACCCTGCCTGGAGTTCCATTGTCATCAAGGGATCTGGTAGTTCCCGTAACCATTTTTTGAGGACATCAGCTACAACATTAATGTCACTCGTCCATTGGTCTGCGTTCAGATCTACGGAATCAATATCTATACAGCAGTGAGCAGGTGCTTGGCTGCATTACAGGAGACATACCACGGTCCATTAACTCTCTAAGCTGTTGAGCCTTTGTGACGGTGCCATTAATCCTATAAATTCCTTGTATGTCTAGACCATATCTCTCGATTGCTTCACAGCACTTGATGAGTATCTTTGGAGTTTCGACACCATCCCGTTCCATTTGTTCCTTTAGGTCGACACCAAAAACACCGCTTCCCCCGGCACCCAAGTTGCGGGCAGAATGAAGGTTGACCTGTGACGCGTACCCGTGGTTGAGGTTCGAGGCCGATCTATCATTGTAAGCTGGGAGAGGAGGAAGCTATACTTGAATTTAGCTCAAGTTAGAGGAATGATCAATAAAGCTTACAAATCCTTGGTCGGCAGGACCCTCTCTTCGCGGACCCCTGTACATACCCTGATGTACCACTCGATAATTTTGTACATATGCCTTAAAATCAGTTCGATTGTCTATCGACTCCATGATAGACTTGAGGCCTGGGCCATCCTCGGCTGCTTTGGGTACCAGAGTCACTGCGTCACTCAATAGGGAGGATTCGAGCAAATAGGCATATCTTGATAAGTGATATTGCATGCCAGTGTCGATTTCGTCGTTCAATTCCTTGAGAGACTGGAAAGAGTCAATATAGGGTATTGGAAGCTGAGGAGTGGAGATACTGACCCGCAGTGTTCGCGGTAGTTGGAAATTGAAATATTCTTGACGGAGGGCTTGGGTATCAAGAAGTAATTTACGATATGCATCAGCGGCTGCCAACATTTTTCCGCGCACATCATCCTCTTGGCGTTGAAGAGCAGCAGGATTTTTACGTTGAAGAAGCATTCCACCTTGCTTAGCAACTGCTTTTGTGATCCCTATGGGTCCCTTTTTGCCATCCTTTCCTGGCTGAGGGGGCACCATTCGAGCGTCCCTGGCGTTCTCACCTTCCTTTGCATACAGAAACCTTTCCAACTCCTCCTGAGCAGCATCGAATCTTGCTTTAGCTTTATCTGCGGCAGCTTCTGAGTCCAGCAACGTGCGTTCATAGCTAGTGTGTGTATCTTTGAACTAATCTCGGAAGTAAGAATTAGGGCTGGTCACCCCAAGTTGAGCGTCTTTCCTCACCTGTTTGCGATTTTTATCTACCTCCTTTGCTAGGTTGGATAGGTCTTCGCTCATTTTCGTTAAATTAGCCGATAGTTTCAGCCGATTCTCCGCAATAGTTTCGTGTAAAGTCATTGAGTTCTCCCAAGCAGTTGCAAAGGTCCTGTAAATGCATGAGAAGTGTTAGCAACCGGGACAACAGGGAGACTGTGAGTGTCGTTACCCAGCCTTGCACTCATTTGCCGCGTACGCACTCTTGGTGGCAACCGCAAGTTTATGCATGCTGCGACCTAAATCCGTCTCGAGCGCAGCTCGCTTTTGAAGAAAGACTGCAGCTTCCTAGATAAGATGTAACCAAAGTGAAACATTGGCGTTATGGTGATTCATACCCTAGCAGAAGCCATACCCTGCTTGATGCGATCCAGTAGACAATTCACACCACACTACGAAGAGAATGAGTATATTAGCATGCCTTTTCACAAAGGGAGAAACGGACATCCATGTCAATGAGTACTCGTAATGCATTTTCGTCAAAGCTTGTGGGAACGACCTCATCTGGCGCGTCAGAACCATCTTGCAGACTATCTCTCCTTAACCCGCTTGCTTTTGTCGCTGAAGACTCTGTGCTTGACCTTGTCCGAGGAATCGGTGATGATTGAAGATAGTCAGAGTGGCCTGTATGACTGTAGGTTTGGGGTTGCGAGGCCATTGCGGTAGAACGCGGATGGAAAGAAGGTGAAGCCGTAGGAGATGAGTGCAGCGGATCCATGTACCCTGCTGCAGATCTTCACGGAAAAGAAAAAAGGAAATTTATTCAGGATCCGGGTAGGAGCCAAAAGTGGATTACAAAGCAAGCGTTGCCACAACAAATTATGACGAGCATTTCGTTCAATCTCTACTCTCGGGGTATTCCCATTTCAGGATATGTAGACTCTTAAGATGGCCACCTCTTCCCTCTGGCAGAGCTATAGCATTTTCCACGTCTCGGACATGTTTGAACCCAACTTTTCTGAACACCCCGACACTGGCCACATTGCCGACAAACGCAGTGACAAGCATCCTTCGACAGTTCATGCGTGGTATCGCCCAGCCCTCGATCAGAGTGCGTAAAGCAGCACTCATGATACCACGACGATGGTGACTTGGAGCCAGAAAATCTTGATTGGATTGGGTTGTCTCAGTATCTCTATATTTGGCGCTCGCGTGCTGTAGAATAGCTCACCTCCAATTGTCCACACTATAGTTGGGTCGCCAGCTGGTTTAAGAAGATTGTCTGCATCCTCTTTCTCAGCCCAGGCTACATCAGGTAATTCCCTTTTAAGATCAATATCGCCGATAAGCAAGTCGGTGCCATTTTCTTGAACCTCCCGGATGGAACGGACGGGCGAGCCATTTATGAACTGATTCTCTGCTTCGATTTCTTGTAAAAATTCTTGAACTTTATCTATGACCCTTTTATTCCATTGGATTCCGTTTTCGGTGGTATACGGAAATGGAGG